AAAAATCACATTTTATAAATAAAAAGGAACCCATAAAGGGCATGGAATGAAAACTATTCAATTTTTGCCCAAAGAAATGTAATAGACAAATAACACATAGGTTGTTTTTTTATTGTTTTTTGGATTTCTCTTCACATTTTGACAAAGCTGCAACTATAAAAGGAAAACGAGCTGTGTTTTGAGTTAAGGATTAGTTACAATGGAACATATAATTGGATGGCAGCACAGTTTCCAAACCAAGCTAACCAGAAGTTGGATTTTTCTGAGTGGTAAGATATGCTCCAATTCCAAAACTAGAAAAGGCCACATCTGTTTTTGCATATAATTTAGTCGACTTGCAGAAAAGAACTGACAGTGATCAAGGCATCAGCATTATAAAGCATGGCTTTTTTTCCACCTGACCAATCCCTAATCAGAACAGAAACATTGTTGATCAGCAGGCTCTTTAAAACGGCTGCAGGCTCAAAGAACACAAATTTATTACTGATTGTTTGAAGTGAAATGCAGAGGATTTGGGTAAGGCATGAAAGATCTTTCTAAATACGGAACAGTGAGAAATGGTGAGCAAGCTGGATCAAGACCTTTGTTAAACTATGAAACAGAAAAGCATGTGAAGTAAAACAAGTTCGGCTGTGTACCAAAAGTAAGGTCACTTTTTAATTATCATGGTCCAATCACTTTGGCTTCTCTCGTGATTAAGCCCTGTTTCTCAAATCTAACCGTCGGTTAGGACTTGCCTTGCTCATGAACAAACTTTGGGAGGCTCATTCAGGCACTGGAGGGCAACAGGTATGTGCTCTCATGTCACTGACAGAGAAGTTTTTTTTTTTTAAGTGTGGGGGGGGATTTCTTTTGATGGCAGCACCATGTTTTTGAGGTGTTTGTCCTGATTAGAACAGAGCCCCTCCTCTCAAGACATCATGTCATGCCAGCACAGAGCCGTTTCCTCACTCAGCAGCTTTCTCTTGAGTGCTCTTGGACTCCCGCTCAGCCCTCTTCTCCGCCGCCTGTCCATCTCCTCCTGTTCCTCCTCCGCCCCGGTTACGGCTCCTCGCCCCAGGCTGGTACAGCTGAATTGCAGGCCGATCCTAAGACAGAAATGTAAAAAACTATAAGCAATACGTGAAATACAAGTTATACACATAAAACGTTTTTGATGTTTTTATAAGAAGTCTCTAATGCTCATCAAGGCTGCATTTTTTTATCAAAAACATAGTAAAAGCAGTAATATTGTGGAATATCATCTTAACTTTTTTTAAAGTGTAATTTATTCCTGTGATGGCAAAGCCATTACTCCAGTCTTCAG